ATCATACACAATTATACTGTTGTCCAAACTATATCAGTAATGTTTTTAAGCCTATGGTTGTGATGTGATGTATTGTTTTACGAAGTATTTTTAAGAGCAAATAGAAAAACATTCACCTTATAAGATATTCACAAAGAAATATTTCTCCCAGTGTTTCCTTTTAGGCCTTACAAAGTTACAATCATGCCATAAGAGATTCATTGGAAGAAAAAGCCCATGGAATTGTGAATTTGTGCTCAATACATGAACACACCCAGTGAGTCACACTCATGTTCAGTCTAATGCCCATTTTTATTACTGGTAGGAAGAAGTACATGTTGGAAGGACACTGCTGTACCTCTGAGTGCAAAGTGGTGTCAAGTTTCTCAAAAAGAGTGAAATGACCAATTCCATTATTAATAGATTCACTGCATATTCTTACTTTAACTTTTTTTTTGGTAATTTATATGGACATTTAATCTTATTATGTCTGCATTCCTTGAAGAGCTCACAGTCAGAGGAGATTGTCTTCAGAGCCAAAAGATTAAATTAAAATGCTTATTTGATTGTAGTAGCAAATATTTATGGCTTTGATAGGGAAGAAACAGGTAGTATTCACCTATTGTGATGGGTATGTAAACTGATACAACCTTTTTAGGGGTTACCTTGGTAGTACCTATCACAATAACAAATATAATGTCTTTCACACCGTTGTTCCACTTTTAGGATGTTAACCTAGAGATAAATTCACATTTGTGCCCAAAGATTAATGTACAAGGATATTCACTGCAGCATTATTTTTTTTTCTTTTAAGACTTTATTTATTTGACAGAGAGAAACACAGCGAGAGAGGGAACAAAAGCAGGGGGAGTGGGAGAGGGAGAAGCAGGCTTCCCGCCGAGCCAGGAGTACGATGCGGGGCTCGATCCCAGCACCCTGGGATCACAACCCGAGCCCAAGGCGGACGCCCAACGACTGAGCCACCCAGGCGCCCCAGTGCAGCATTATTTCTAAGAAGGAAAACCAGAAATAGCCTATTGTCCTCAGTAGGGGAATGGTTGAATCATTTATGGCACTAAGAAGATGTGGAAGGCTATGGGACTGTTAACAAGGATGAGGTGGATTTGTATATACTAATCTTTTAAGTAAAAAGCAAATCACTGAACAATACGTATGGTATGATGTTATATATATTGAACAAAAACAAAGCAAATATATTTGTAAATGCATAGAAAATACCTCAAAGCATACATACCACACCCCTAATGATGATTATTTCTGGGCAGGAAAAATAACTGGGGGGGGATACACAGAGAGGAATTTTACTTTTTACTGTAGGTACTTCTTTCTCTATTGTCTGAATTGTTAGCAGGGGGAGTGGGAGAGGGAGAAGCAGGCTTCCCGCTGAGCAGGGAGCCCGATGTGGGACTCGATCCCAGGACCCTGGGATCATGACCTGAGCCGAAGGCACACGCTTAACGACTGAGCCATCCAGGTGCCCATAAATTAAAAATAATTTTAAAGAATAGTGGTGCCTGGCTGACTCTTTTGGTGGAGCATGTGAGTCTTGATCTTGGTTGGGGTTGTGGGTTTGAGCCCCACATTGGGTGTAGACATTACTTAAAAAAAGAATCTTAAAAAAATATTTTTTTTAAATAGAAATAAGTAGTAAGTGCTAAAAAGGAATTTATGAGTTTCTGTTTCTCTTATTTCCGATGAGTGTTATTGTTTTGTAAGACAATGTGAACTAGTAGAAAGAACACGTAAGTTCTAATGGTGACTCAACTACTGTGGTGTGTACCTATGTGTATATGTATGTGTGTCTGAAGAGGGGAAATCGAGAATGAGATTGCAAAATACCATCTGACAGGGTTACTATGAGAGTCCAGTGAAATATTGTACAAAGAAGTCTCAGCCTGCTAGACAACTGGCAGGCACTCAGTGCAGTGTACTTACATTTCCTTATCCATATCCCACTCCAAGGTTTGAAATCTGTTTGATTCCAGTAAATGAAGGTAATGAAAAAAAATTAGACGCGTCAGACCTGTGTTCTGAATTTGATCTTGAAAATACAGCGATCAAACATCTACTCCCATCACTTCTTTTTACACTTGTTAATAACAGGCTGATACTGAACACTCCATTTTGGTTAATTCTGGGCAAAACTGATGGGCTAAATATTTACATCTGATTCTCGATAGACAGAGATGACTTCCTAGGGGGTTATGATTTAAAGATCAGATGAAAAGAGACAAAGGGACAGCAAACTGAGACTATTTGAACTTTACAAACCACACAGTGCTTTATGGGTCACACTGCTCCTTCACAGCCATTTGATCATTGATGGATGAGACAGGCATTAATGATGTCAGCCTCATTAAACGAGTGAGATGGGTGAGAAGGAAACTGAGGCCCAAAGAGGTGAAGTGACTTGCCCAAGGGCACACTCTGAACAAAGCCAGGTCTTACTCCTAGTCAGTTTTTACTCCTAGTATTCTGCCATTAAAAAAAAAAAAAAAAAAATCGGTGGCCTGGTCCAAGAGCTGAAAATGTGGAGGGAAAAAGTTTGTTTTTTAAAGATTTTATTTATTTGACATTGAGAAAGACAGCGAGAGAGGGAACACAAGCAGAGGGAGGGGGGGAGAGAGAAGCAGACTCCCGGCAGACTCCCCGCTGAGCAGGGAGCCTGATGTGGGCTGATCCCAGGACCCTGGGATCATGAGCTGAGCCTAAGGCAGACGCTTAACGAATGAGCCACCCAGGTGCCCCGGAAAAAGTTTTTTTAAAAACAGGAAAGCTCCAGTTTTCCTGGTACCAAATGACCAGTGTATACCAGGTATGTTATATATTATGGTTTGATATTATTGTTAGGCAATGAATAAAAATCTTAGGCCTGAAAGTCATCCAATAAATACTATTTTGGTAAATCCAAGAGTTGAGTTATAGAGTTTTGCTTTATTGGAGGGTGAGGGAGTTATCATTATTATTATTTTGATCTTTGAGGGAGAGAAAGCGATAGAAAACAAGCAAGCAGGGGTAGGGGCTGCTGGGAGTCGGATCTCACAACCCTAGTATCATGACCTGAGCGGAAAGCTTAACCAACTGAGCCACCCAAGCGCTCTGTGAGGGAGTTATTCTTAAGTAGTTTTGGTGTTAGCCATTATTCATTCCGAGAAAAGATCTGCTGTTGAAATTGCAATTTAATAAATCGTTGATTAACCTCTTGGTGGCACAATGGGCCTAGAAAATTTTGGTGGGCTACTTGCTGTTTAAGCAAAATCAGTAAACCTGATTTGGAGGGCACTTGGAGCAAAACAAGCGAGGCAACCACGTGAAAGGCCACGTGCATGTGACTTTCATAGAAAATGCTATTTGGGATGATGAAGAATGCGAAGGGCAGCTATGCTGAGAAGTCAAAGGTAGGGGCAGATCAAGGGCATCTGGTGGGAGGCTGTTGGCATGCACCCTAATCCAGAAAAATACCCAAGATACACTAATTACAGGGATTATAGTGTCTTCGTTTCTAGGTAGGGCTGGTTGTTGGGAGCAGCCAAAGCCCAGCCCGGGGAGACACCGAGTTAAAATTTGAAGGAGCCCTTCTCAAGATCCAGATACTTTTTCCACGACTCTGAGATAACAAGGCGCCAAGAGTGCAGGCCCCCACATCTCACCCTAACCTCTTTCACGGTTATTCTCACCCTCAACTTCCAGTCCCCAAAGCCCGGGCTTTAAAATGGATGGTCCAAGGCCTACAACTGGCCTCCGGTGCATTCTTTTCGATCCTTTTTTCCACCCTTCCCGGATTGAAAAAACTGGGTGTGCCCTCCCTTCTCAAAGCGGGGCTCCCTTCCGAGGGGGCGGGTCCTGATCACCGCGGGCTCAAACCCCGCAGGTTGGCGGGAGCAGGCGGGGGCGGGCAGGCGCGGATCGGGAGAGAGCCGAGCGAACGCCGCCGCGCTCCGCGCTCAAACTCGCGCCGCCAGCAGCTCACGAGCTGCGCCCCACCCTCTCCGTCACCAAACGCGCCCAGCCAATGAGCGGGCCAGAAAGGCCGGGCCTGCGGGCTAAGCATTGGGAGGGGGAGCAGCGGGAGGGGGACGGGAAGTCGAGGGCGGGCTGCACTTGATTGACAGGTCGCTCGCACCAATCCTCCGCGCGGCTTGTCTTCGCTCTCTTCTCAGCTGGGCTCAGCTCTTCGTCCCACCTCCTCCTCTTCCACCCCCCTCCTTGCTCCTTTTCGACCCGCCCCACTTCCCCTCCCCCACTCTGCAGGCAAATCGCTGCTGGAAAGAGGCGGGGGCCGAAGCGGCGGGCTCGTGTGGAGACTTGAGGTGGGATTGACGGGCGATCTGGCCAATAAGAGGTAGGTTGATGGCGCGGCTGTGGCTGGAACCGGCCAATGGGCAGGCGGGCTGGGGGCGGAGGCCCAGGTTCCAAACGCTCCGCGGCGCCATGGGCTGAAAACTCAACCGAGATGGAATCTCCCAGTCTGAACCGGTTTCAACCGGTTCCGAGTTTGAGGCACTAGGAGGAGGGGGAGAAGCGGCTGCAGCGGCCGCGGCAGGAGCAGCGGGAGCTACAGCATCAGCAAGAGCAACAGTAGCTACAGCCCCGGCGGCGGTGCCTGTTCCAGTCTTTGCTGCTGCAGTCCGTGCAACCACCGAGAGGGGGAGGGGGGAACCACCAGTCGCTGAGGAGCAGGAGAAGGGGGGAAAGTTTAGGCGAGCCTGGGTGGGGGGGCCCAGCGCCGGAGCCGCGTGAGAGAGGGAGCCGTATTTTGGTAGGGGGGAGTCGGACTGCAACTGGCAGCAGAGCGTCCCCCGACCTTGTGGACTCTATATCCCCTACTCCTGCCGCTTCTGCTGCCGCCTGTGGCTGGAGGGTCCCCTTGGGGCTGAATCTTTGGGACTTGACCCCTTTCCCCTCCCCCTTCCCTCACTCCCCAGCCAGGCGGGAGCATTTATTCCACGGATTAATTCCCCTTCCTTTTTTAGGGGGGGCGGGTGGGTGTGTGTCGTGGGGGGTGTCCCTGAAATAGTAAATATTGTTGAGCTTTTTTTGCCCTTATCTTCGTTTTTTTAATTTCCTTTTTTAAGGTGGGAAAACTGTGAAACCCACCTTGATTTCCTCCCCTCTCCCCCCTCCCCACCTTCCCTCGCCCTAATCCCCCGACAAGGAAAGAAGAAGCAGTTGGTTCAATCTCTGGGTAAGTCGACTGTGTCTTCGGGGCCGAGGGTCGGGCGGCGGCCGGGCGGGAGGAGGCCGGCGTGGGGCGCGGCGGCGGCCGCGGGAGGCGAGCCCGGGAGGCGGCGGCGGCGGCGGGCCCACAGCAGAGCCTGCGATTGAATGGAGCCGCTTCTGCCGCTGGGGGATGGAGGCGGGGAGGCGGCCGCGAGAGGGTAGCGCTTGCTGGGTTATTCGCGTGTGCGGGTGGCGGTGGAGGAAGGCGAGGAGCGTGATAGTGAAGGGAGGCCGGTGTGGGTGTGGAAGGGCTTCCCCAGCCCAGGGGGCTGGGGAGAAGTTGGGGTGATTTCAGGAACATCTCTGTAAATTATTAGGAGTGGAAGTTTCCAGAAATATTTAGTGCAGCAGCATTGAAACGTCCGCCTGCATCACGTGGCCCTTCGGTGGAGAGCTTGGGATCGGGGGAGGGAGGGGCTGCCGAGTCCCTCCTCCTCCTGCAAGGAAACTCGAAATCTTTCTGGTTTTTTGCAGAGTAGGATTAGAAGTAGGAAAGGTTAGTTGATTGTTCAGGGTTCTGTAAATTGGATTCCATTCTGTAGTTTGTTGGGGGGAGCGGGTTGAGTGTGTTAAGTGACCGAATCGTTTACTGCTGGATTGTACAGTGGATGATGCCCTGATTCTCCTTCATTCCGATGTCTCCGAGTTTGGGATGGGTGGAAAGAAGTGGTGTAGTAGAGGAAGCTTTAGAGATTTGCCTAGCCCGGACCTCCTCTGATCACGCAGAGGCCATGCTGCATTGAGAATGGGGCGGTGAACTTCAGGCGCCTGGTCTAAATGCCTCCTCCGAGTATGGGCGGGGTGAGTGCGTGCTCCGGTATGCTATAGTTAGAACTGCTGCAAATCGGTTCGGGTGGGAAGCGAGGGGAGGGCGGGCCTTAGTGAGGTGTGTTTCTACTGAATGAAGCAGGCAATTGCCCACACATCTAAGTAGCAGTCTTTCCTTGTAGCGACTTGTTTTTTGACCTACTACTTAGTAATCATAAAGCAACGGTTATGGTTTGGATGGGAGCTGGCAATGTGCAGCTGCCTGCTTATTCAGTTAGAAGTGGCAGTGAAGGTATTTTGGTAGTCACTTGTAGAGTCACTTTGCTGGATAATCCCTTGTATATGCTATCCAGTGAGTGGATTTTAGGATTGAGTGTCCCAAGGAAAAAAGAAAGCGATTGTGGTTTCCACGCTCTCCCGCAATGGCTGTTTGCTATTTGCCTGATTGTGTATCTTAAGCGTGTGGGACACTGCTGTTAATGGAAAGAATGTTTTGGAAGCTGTTTGATTTGGGGGACTAAATGTGCTTGGCATTGACCAGAAAGCCGCCATTTCTGTACAGTTCAAGAATAGGTAGGTCATTTCGAAGAGAGCCGCTAGTTCTAAGGATGGCAAACTACTGTATTTAACACAAGCTTCTATTCTAAACCTGATTTTTCACAGGAGTTTAGCTCGAAGAACTCTGTAAGGACAATGTACTTGAAAATGAAACTTTTTATAGTCAAATTGTTCTTTTTGTTTGTTTGGGTTATTAAATTATGATAGGACTACATAGGAGAAAAGTTAGTTCAATTTTTAACCAAAAATTGAAAACCTTTGATATGTACATCTTGGTGCTTTGTGGGCATTGTTTTTCTATCTCAGTTTTTAAGACTGTTCTGATCTTTAAAATACGGTATTTGATGCGGGGAAATTTACACATTTGGTGGAATATATATATGTATTTCCATTTTTATATCGTATGTGGATTAGAGATTTTTGTTAATGCATTCAGATATTCTTTTGGTATTAAAACCATTAATAAGTGCTATGAATTTTTGAGATCTCATCAGTTTTTGCTGTCAGTAATGGGCTGAACGATTTCAGAGGAATAAAAATCCTTGAACTCTTAATTTCTCAATTTTTACATTACCTCTAACTTATTGACTCATCATTTACACTTAACATTTTTTTGTAATTGGCATTATCATTAAATAAAGCATTTGTGTTAAAATTGAAATTGCTGCCATTGTTGTTAACATTTTTAAACTGCTCAAGAAGCCAAGAAACAGTCTTTTTCCTATCCTATCAAACATAATGTAATGAAATCCCACCCATTTCCTGATCCTGGAAGGTTTTTAAGAGGGGGAGAAATGGAGGTAACCAGCTGACTTTGTTGGGTCCAACTACGGTCAACCAGGGGTTTTTAACCTGAGGTTTCATGCATGGCTTTCAAGGTGTCTTGGATTTTCTGTAATTGTATACAAAATTGTGAGTTTTTAAAATTTGACAGGCAATATCATGTTCTTCTGATTGTAAGGCATCTTGACCCAAAAAGATTAAGGAGTACTGATTTAGCCAGTCAGACTACAGTGGCACTGGCTTTGAAGAAAAAGCAAAGATTTTTATAATGCTGGGCAATAAAAATGTGAATGTGTGCCAGCATCTTGGATTAGAATCCTCTTAAAAGGGTAACATTGCATATAAACTGGTGGGTTTTAACCAGTGCATTATGTGAGGTGAAGAAGTTTGTTTTTCTGTTATTACAGAATTTCTCTTTATTTGAAAAATATTTGGCAAGCTTTTACAGTTTTTTACCTTGCCAATGAATACCTGGAAGTTGTAAAAAAAAGTTTGACATGCTGCTGTAATGTGTTTTTCTAGACATATGTTCAAGGAATTTTAATCTCCAAATTTATTGAGGGTTGAAAGAAATAGATGGTTTGAATATAAAAATTTTTAAGTTCTGCTAGTCATTGGTATATATAATAAGAAAACTTGGATACCACATTTAACTTTCAGCATCTTCCTGTTTTTTTCAGCATATCTTAAAAATTAAGGTGACATACAGGGAAGGGAGCTTTTACTGAAACAGAAGACCCTATTTAGGAAGGGGTAAATCCACTTAAACTTTATCTGTACCGAAAAATTTGAGATTAAGACTTTGAACTGTATCAATTTTTAGAGCCATAAATTCCTAATAATGGTTTCATTAAAAGAGGTTAGGAGTAATTTTATTTAAATATTAGTTGAACAGTAAGATTTTTCTGGGAGTTTAAAATAGACACTAGAAAAGTTAAATGGACCTTAACTAAAGCAGTTACGGAGTAGCTAAGTATCTTCAGCATTTAGTTGCTTTTACTGTAATTTATTTAGGTAGTGTCTAAAATACTCATTATAATACTTGTAAGAACATGGTTGAAGTAAAATAACTTGAGTAGAAAGTTTCTGACTGGTAATTACCAAAATTTCGTAGGCACCTTAAATTTTTTTCTTTATTTACAGTAATCTATGCCAGCAATTATGACAATGTTAGCAGACCATGCAGCTCGTCAGCTGCTTGATTTCAGCCAAAAACTGGATATCAACCTTCTAGACAATGTGGTGAATTGCTTATACCATGGAGAAGGAGCCCAGGTAAAGAAGCTGAGCAAAACTTTGTAACATTAATAGAGTGCAATGAAGTTATTCAGTTAGAATAAGATTTTAAATTACCGCCTTTTTGAAAAGTGTTCCATAGTTTGTATTAAATTGGAACTATATATTAACCAATGAGAAGCGGCCTGCAGAAATTGCAGTATGTGCATTATATTTTGACGTGGTTAGAATGAGATGTTTTGGAATATTACTTGTTTTGTCTTTTAAGAAACCTTTAGCTAATTTAATGAAAGATAGAGCCTAATATATTGAATGTTTTATAGATACTAAAGGTTGCATATCTTTTATGTATGTAATATATTTGGAGTTTAAAAGATTCTTGTATTTTTGAAACATTTAAATTACAGAAGTACTTCACTGCTAAAACTTGTTTTAAAAGTCCAGCAATACCAAGCATCTTAAATTATTTGAATTTAAGACTTGTAAAAGTGGTCTATTAATGTAGGCAGTTATCTTACACATAATCCATGTTTTGATGAGTTTAAAGTTTTTGGGTTTTTATTTTTTAAAAACACCCCATTGAATGCTACGCAAGACAGGAATGTTCATAATTTTTTTTAGGTGTTTATGTTATAAGAAACTGGGTAATCTTGAATCTTCACTCTGTGGAGTTAATCACATGAGGAGTTTTAAATTGTAAAATTTTCTGTTGTTGGATTTAAAAGTCTTTTAAGGTGATGTGACAAAAACCAGTAAAATTTTGTTGCAAAAATATTATATTCCTAGTAGAGATGTCTAGTTAGTACATGTCTTGAAGATACTAGTTTATATTTGCATAGTTAAACCCTGAGTGCTATCACACTTTTTAGAAACCTGAAAGGTAGAAATTTTATCTTTTATAGATGATCTAAAAAGCATGATGTATAAATACTAGCATGTGCATAAATATTCCATTCCCTCTGAAACACATTTTTGGTTTTAGTATATATATAACAAAGAGAAAACTTGAAAGGGGACCATGAAAGTTGTATGAGTGGTAAAAAGTATTCTGCAGATTTTGTAAGGTTGGTCCGGTTTTATAACTCCTAGTGGCTTTTGGTCCATGTTCTTGTCTCCAAAAGCCTTCCTGAAAAGTTATTCCATCCATATGTATTACACATACCATGTAGTTGTTTCTTTGTGCTATACATTCAACATGGAGCTTTAAGCTTCATTTCATTCTAACATGCATGTATGGAAAGCAGCTACTTTTGGAAGTAGAGAAGTAAGGTTGGGCTCAACTTTGAATGTATTAGAAGCACAAGTCTTGTAGCCATTAGGAAGATGGCAATTTAATTTTATCACCTCACTTAGCTGCTACTGCTGTTTAAATCTTTGTTCTTTTTTAACGTGGCTCACAACATCTAAAAGTATGATGGATAAACAAAGAGACCAATATTCTTCTAGGCTTATAACTAAGAAGTAATAGTAATTTTTATCATAAAGAATATATTGGTGGTGGGGTGCCTGGCTGGCTCAGTTGGAAGAGCATTTGACTCTTCATCTCACAGATGTGAGTTGAAGCCTCATGTTGGGTATAGAGATCACTTTAAAAAAAAAAAAAGAAGACTTTAAATATACATATATATATTGGTGCTGCTGCTGCTTTTAGTAATGTTTCACATTATTAAGATTTAATGATTTGTTTTAAATTTGATTTTTTAATAAAATATAGACTTAGGAAAGTGTTTTCTATTTATCAAGGCAAAATAAACTTTCCCCAAAGTAAGAACTATATGTCTAGTTACAAGACAAATTTGTTACATATAGTCACAAACTGCTATTTGTCGTTGTTATAGATAAGGAAATGGAGGCTTAGAGCTCTTAAAAGCTAAAAACTTTTTATCTCAAAGTGTGTCTTTACACTTGTAGTTCAGTGGATTTTTCATATGCCACCTCTTTGGGGGTCTTATTGTGAATAAAAAGAAGAAAAAAGCTGTCGTGGAAAAGGTTTTTAGTGAGGGGTGTCTTGTTTTAGTCCAGTAAGTTTTCTAGTCATTGCTCTAGAGTTTCAGCTACAAAGTTAGCTACCTTACAGGAGACTGGAAGATAGTAGGGTTTGTAAAAGCACCTGTTATGGTGCCTCATACTTAGAAGGCATTCTGTTTAAAGGGTACTTTTGGAAGTATAAAGAAGATTTAGCATATTTACACAAACTCATTGTTTTAAAATACTGTATGGTTTCTTAATTTTTTTCCAGTCTTCATATGTCCTAAAAATGGCAGCTATAGAAATTATGCTAATTAAACATTAAAACTCAGAGGAAGCTAATTTTTTTTTTAAGGATTACATAATTTTGGAGGGGAAGAAATTGTTAGAATGGTGCCTTTTAATCTATACCCAGAGCTTATGTCCAAATGGGCAATATAGAAGGATATTTAACACTGTAACATTAGGGCTATCTTCTCTTCTAAGTATTTTTCTATTTTTAGCCAAGTTAGGCAGCCAGCGGGAAAAATATATGGAAGAGTTGGTGTTTTCTCCAATACTGTGTTAAGTGACTTGAACTCTTAATCTATTGCTTAGCAACTAAAATACTTTCACCATTCATTAAGTAACACAGGGAGATACCGAATTCTCTCCTTTAGTTTCCTTCCGTGTCTTTTTTAACCCCTTCTGGAGTTTTAGTTAATAAGGATAGTGGGGTTAGGACAAAGTAAAGACGCTAAGATGCAAATACTGGAAGTGACTTAAAGAGTAAAAGGATGACTAAAAGGAAAGGACATGATTTATGCAGTGTTAATGATAATAGTGCACAATGGTCATTTCAAAAGTTCTGATAGAGTATCTTGACCAAATTAACTTTTACTAGGCATTGATCTTTGATATACCTCATGCTCTTGTTATTTGTTACTATTTTTTGTGCAAGAATATAACTAGTGAGAAATGAATAGATCTAGTTAGATACTCTCTGGGAGACAGTCAAAACATTGCTAAAGTGTGCTTTGGCCCTAGATAATTCAGATCACTATTTTTTCTGCTTTTTGTCATTATATAGCATAATTATAACTCCTTAAAACTATTAGTCCCTTAACGAAATCTAATCAAAATATGTATATTTTAAGAGCTTATACTCTAGCTCGAACCCTGTACTTGTAGGTTGGAACCCAGGCAACTGGTTTTTCTTCCAAGTTCCATGGTGGTTCTGGTGGTGGTGTCAAGGTACAAAACCACTACTTAGTGGGTGTATATTTTTTAAGTTTTCTTTTAAACAATAAGCAGTGTATATTGCTAGTTGGTTGATGGGGGAAACCACTGTATCTGCTACCTAAGGAAAATAATTCTTAATATCAAAGCCAAGGGGCGGCTGGGTGGCTCAGTCGTTAAGCGTCTGCCTTCGGCTCAGGTCATGATCCCAGGGTCCTGGGATTGAGCCCCGCATTGGGCTCCGCGGGAAGCCTGCTTCTCCCTCTCCCACTCCCCCTGCTTGTGTTCCTTCTCTCACTGTGTCTCTCACTGTCGGATAAATAAAATTTAAAAAAAAAAAAAATTAAAAAAAAAATCAAAGCCAAAATAAGGAGCATGATTTTTTTTTCTTGTAAGTTGGAATAAAACCTAAGTTAAAGGTGATTTTGAGGTGTCTGTCAGAAATGGTTCAAATTGGAATGCTTCTTTCCCCCTCTTTGATGCTTGCTTTATAACCCATAGAATCAAACCCTTGATCAAGTTGAATCAATCTAACAGATAATTGACAAACTTTAAAATTACCAAACTTCTTACTTATGTGTGATAGAACTAGGTAAAAGGTAATTAGGGAGGATCCACTTGAGCTACAAAACTGCCTTTAAAGGTGAAAAGATTAAGCTATTACTTTTTGAAAAAAATCAATAGAATTAACAGCCTTGGGTAAAATGTGTTCATATTATAAAACTATAATGGTTAAAATGAAGAGAGTAGATACATAGTGTCAATATGGCTAGGTCTTTAAAACTCCATTGTCTGTTATACCTTACAATAAAGCTGAGGGAAAGTGTCAAATGAAAAGAGCAGATTGTAGTGTTTTTTATAATATACTATTTATATAAAATTTAGTGATCACACAACTATATCATTCATGAAATTTATGCACATGCTGAGAAAATATGGACAGGAAAAGACACCAAATTCATGAAAGTCATTATCTCTAAAGGAGCGAAAGGAAGGAAATGGCACTGGAGAAAAGGTATAAAGGTGATTTCCATAAGTTTTAGAACTTTTATGTTTATTTAAAAATTTTTTTTTTTTAAGATTTTATTTATTTGACAGACACAGTGAGAGAGGGAACACAAGCAGGGGGAGTAGGAGAGGGAGAAGCAGACTCCCGCTGAGCAGGGAGCCCGATGCGATGCGGGGCTCAATCCCAGGACCCCGGGATCACAACTGGAGCTGAAGGCAGACGCTTAACTACTGAGCCACCCAGGCGTCTCAGAACTTTTCTGTTTAAAAGAAAAACAAATACAAGTAAAACAGTGTTAACATTTGTTCATTGTAGATGATGGATATATAGGTTTTTATTATTTCTGGGTTTGCATTTTAAAGATGGAAATGGGTGCCTGGGTGGCTCAGTAGGTTAAATGTCTGACTCCTGATTTCAGCTCAGGTCATGATCTTGGGGTCCTGGGATTGAACTCACTCTGTCAGGCTCCGTGCTCAGTGCAGTGTCTGCTTGAGATTCTCTCTGCTTATCTGTCCGCCCTCTCTCTCCGTGCTCACTCTCTATCAAATAAGATCTTAAAGATATCAAGCTTTCAAAATAAGCTAAGATTTGATAATGAAATTTAGAAGACTTTCAGAGAACAGAAAAAATGTGTATTTACAGTAAATTTAAGAGATTTTTTTTAAAGGGGTTCAGGGTCTTCGTGTTTTTTATGTATCTGAGGTTTGTAGCGTTACTTAGACCTAGTTTTTATCAGTTTTCCCAAGGAAAAAAACATGTATATATTATTTTTTTTCCCATGAAATATATTTTTATAGGTAAGTTTGTTGGAGATAATCTTGGTAACTTGTAAGACAGGGAGTACCATTATGTAATTTAAGTATATGTGAATTTTTATATGTTGCTTTCAGTTAAGTGCTGAGAACTCCCTTTACGCTAGAGAAATCTTTGTTAGCATTGGTTGAATTTAAGTTCCATTTTGAGAATACCAAATAAAGTAGTAGATTGCCAAAAAAACTACTGTTTCAAAGGGACGTATATTCCCATTTTAAATTGAAGTTTAAGGGGCACCTGGGTGGCTCAGTCGTTGGGTATCTGCCTTCGGCTCAGGTCATAGTCCCAGGGTCCTGGGATCGAGCCCCGCATCGGGCGCCCTGGCTCTCCCACTCTCCCTGTTTGTGTTCCCTCTCTCGCTGTCTCTCTCTCTCTCTCTCAGGTAAATAAATAAATTGAAGTTTGAGTGATGGTGGATACATTTTTATTTCTGTATGGACTAATTTCTTGAGTGTTTCAGAAAGTTAATAGAATCACTGTCCTATTAGAATTTGTGCCTTGCTCAATACCATTTTAATGAATGATTAAAAAGAACAAGTGAGCTTAAAATTATTTTCATGTAATATTTTAGCAAAGAATGGCTCAAGAAGTACTGACACATTTAAAGGAGCATCCTGATGCGTGGACAAGAGTCGACACAATTTTGGAATTTTCACAGAATATGAACACGAAAGTAAGCAAGTGGTGGTTTTAAAATCCATTATTTCTTCTTTTCTTCCAGTCATAAACTTTGAGGAAGGTATCTCATTTTTAGTATTAGCATTTGTTAACTCAAATTATTTAATATTGTTAACTTCAAAATTGAGTCTGAAACATAGAATTAATTCTTGCAAATAGTCCTAAGAATTATGAATGAAGTTTTGTAATTGGGACTAGTATGCAAGGTGGCTTTTTTGGTTGCTTTTTTGTTTTTGTTTTTGTTTTTCTTTTTAGAATATGTATACAGATCTAAGTAGCATAAATTCTGAATGTTATTCAGAGATGAAACATCAGAGGAATTATTTTGGGCAAGTAATCAATATAATAATACAGGCTAGGCACCTCCAACACCAAGTTGTGTGGGCAGCATAAAACCCTGCTCCATGGTACCAATGCTTTAAATGGGACAGCACTCAGTTTTTATTTGCAATTGAAAAATGTTATAATTTGGGTCCTTTTTTCCTAGTTTGAACAGAAGGGTTGATCAAAATGTGTTTTGACTGTTTTAGGCTTGATGATTCACACTTTTCTTTAAACTGCCTTAAAGTAATAAAATACCATGCATGGCATTCTGTTTAATACACACAAGATTTCCACTTGGTATACATTGTGTTAAAACAGAAAATAGCCATTTTCACATCTGTTTCTGAAATCAGACTGTATTAATTAACAGTTTTAAAATATTAATTAGTTTTGACATCTTGTAAATTTTAGGGCAAAAATACAGTCCAGAACTTCCTCAAAGTGCTAACCTTAAGTAACATAATAGTGTTTGCCTGTTTGCTTGCCTGGTAAATTTTGCTTTTTATACTGACAGACATTACTAATGTTTAAGTTGATTTATCAACAGTATTTTTAAAAACTCAAAATTTGTCTTGTGAAAAATGAGATGATTAGAGGAACAGAAAGAAAGCAACAGGTAAAGAATTCTTCAATTTACATAAATTACAAATGATTTGGTGCTAAATTTATGCACTATGACATTTGGCTTTTATGCAATCATTTTTTTTTTCTTTAAAGATGTTAACACTACCTGATATTAATCATAATGTTCCATTATGTTGATTGCTTGTAATAGGAAGAAAAGGGGTGTCTTCCTGTGCAACTGACACAGCTAGGCTTTGACGGCAGGCCTCCACAAGGTCTACCCTTTTGATTCCCTTTAACTGAATTCTGTTCATCAATTGTTTTTGTTTCATGGGCGGTGGGAGGGGAAAGGGGAATTCAATGCATAAAATAAGTATTTCTAAGGGCTCAGTAGAAATTTCTACCATAGGGATCATTTCATGCATTTATTTTTTCATTTAGTCTTTGCTGTTATCTGTCCCTCATCTTCATAACTCAGCAGTGGATTTCTCAAGTCCTCAGATGTAAAGCAGAAATGTAATTAATTCTTTAGAGTGATATTTGGATTATTTATGGACGTTTCCAAAATAGTCATTTACGATTGGCCCATAGATTTGGCTAGCAGTTAAGATTTTTTTAATCAAAATACTCTAATTGAAAAAATGTAAATTCTCTTCATATGTGGAATCGTAATGTTTAGGTGAGATTGGGTTTTAGGATATTATGACGGTGATCTCTGTATTCCTTTGACTTAACTTATAAAAAGCTTTTGTTGGGCTTACTGCCTCAAGCAGGGTTGGCAGAAAGAAAAATATGAATTGTATCTTCAGCAAGCTAATGCTATCATTTTACAGGTGGGGAAAGGAGTAGAGGTTAGTAAATAGGTAATTTAGGTAACAAAGTATCAAAGAAAAAGGAAGCAGGGTAATAGCATAAGCTGAAAAATGCTGGCTAAATAGGGTGAAGTTATCACTGAGATTGTTGCTTCTTACTGGTATATTTGTGGATTTTTAGTTTTTTAAAGATCTTTTTAATTGGTTGAGAATTAACAAGAGGATATATTCCAAGTAGTAAGAAATGCATTGTTTTGACTTAGTAAAACTTTGACAGTGTCATGTCTATAAAATTTGAAGTTTTTAGGGTAGTATGTTCTCAAAAGTTAATTGAAAATTTCAGTCAATCAGAAACCTTTTTTGCCTATTTATATTTTTCTGAGACCTAGACCTATAAAGAATTGTAAATGAACAGGTTAGAAAGTTTTAGTATTTACTGCTGGTTATGAAACCCTTTAATGGTATCAAATTTGTAATTTCAGAATTTTGCTTTGGCCTTGTTTTAATTTTGGAAGTCTTTTTAAGGAATGTTCTGCAAATGTAGGATTTTAGTTGAAATGACAAAATTTTCTTAAAGTATGAAATGTTAAAATGAAAGAGAACAGCAAAAACATTTACTATTTGAGCACAATGTAGTTTGGGACAGTCTATATTGTGCTTTGGATAAAACGAGCATTCACATGATCCCTTTGGTTGAAATACTAATGCTCCTATTTTATTGTGTGATGACTAACCATTTTAAAGATGAACTCTTATTCTCAGCCAAAACTTGCAATCTGAGGTTCTATGTCTATATATGAATGAGTTTACCTTTCAGGTATTATAGCTCATTCTTCCCTACCTAAGACAATTGAAACATACCACAACAATTTTGTCCCTTTTCTTCCTCCTGTCTATCCACACTAATTGGTCATGGTAATAATTTTGGGTAGTAACTCCTATAGCATTATAAATTGTTGTGAATGTTGTTGACTATTTAGAGTGAGTAATCAGCAGGAGGGACAAAATGGCTTGAAAGTGGTATCTGTATTAACTTTCTTACATTTTTAGTTAAGATTTTTATATTTAGGAAGGAATACCTGAAAGGTAAAAACAGATTGCAACATGCGTTTGTGTATTATTTTTGACTGTGCACAAAAGTTTATCTTTAAATTAGTAGAAATAGCAAATGTAAGGGTGGGATTAAAATTTAAAATTAAACCCGTGGGCTGTCTTGCTGCTCCTTAAGAAACACACCAGAGATGTTTATAAACACTTTCTACAGAAAGTATCTGAGACAATACTTTAATACTTGGCCAAGAGCTTACAACTCCTAGAGGATGGTAGGAAGCTTGAGAGCATCCAAGCTGCTAAATTCTTAGGAGCCTGGTCGTGTTAAAGTACGTGAGCCGATGAGCAGTCATTTATGCTGTGAATTCATATTTGGCTGCTACTTTTCCTTCTACAGATAAGCCCATTTGGCTGCTAAAGGGCTTTTTATTTGGTTCTTCCTCCTGGTGTGAGCATGTATAAACAGCAGGACGTTAAATAGAGTAGTAAACAAAATGAGGAAAATGCATGAAAACTCAGTATATGGGTGAATAGATCCTTGTTTAATATATGTAATTAAACTTGGTAGCATAATGTTTTTGAAACTTTAGATGTAAATGTGTGAATGTCTGTCCATTTGTGAATCCTGAAAGTTGCCAGTATTATAGCAATATATTCACATGTTTCTATTCTCCAATTTTCAGTATTATGGACTACAAATTTTGGAAAATGTGATAAAAACAAGGTGGAAGATTCTTCCAAGGAACCAGTGTGAAGGTAGGAAAATGTTTTAAAGAATTATAAATTCAGAATTGTATTAGTTTTGGCATTTTTATTATAGTTGAATATTGGGCAGTGGGGCGGTGGTGGTAAATCTTCAATAGTTTAATAGCTCTGATGGAGATTACTGCTTTCATCAAGTGCGAAGACAGGTTCTATTTATATTTGGGGGCAGGGGAGGAAAAAGGTTACTTTTTGGGGGAAAGAGACCAAAGTGGTCAAACTGTTCACAGTAAATGCTGTGGTGAAAAAATATATATCAGCTTGTAGTTAATCAGGACCATGACTGAAAGTGAATGGAATTTGAATATGTGTTCTTATACATGGTTATAAAAAGTTTGCCTAACAGTAACTCATGAATAATAAGTATTGTAGCACATTAAATAGTACATAAACTTAACAGAGCAAGGGAAAAATGAAGTTTTAAAAAAATCAAAGATTGGGGTGCCTGGGTGGCTCAGTTAGGTGTCCCAACTCTTAATCTCCGCTCAGGTCTTGATCTTAGGGTTGTGAGTTCGAGCTTCATGTTGGCGCAGGGCATGGAGCCTACTTAAAATAAAAAAAAAAATCGCAAAGCTTTACCTTTGGAAATTCTGGGCCTGCTTTAGAAGAGATCAGCTTCTACATTAGGGAAAGGAAAGAATGAAGATGTGATGATGCCTGCTATTGATAACTTAGCTTTTGCCCTTCTGCAATCTCAGTAAAGGTAGTCCTGCTTTAAGACACTTGGAGCAAGCTTAGTCTCTTGGAGTATATTGATAAAGTTACTTCCAGTTTTCACATACTGCCTCTATCACCTACTCTATATCACTTGTTTGTTTAATCTCTGAAAAATACGTAAATATAAGCCTGGACTTTACAATGGGGAGTATGCTACTACTGGTGGCATTTTTTTTTTTTCTATTAAAATCTGTCTCCTTTCTTTGACTGTTGATCTTTTTTTTGTTTTTGTAGTTTTTTTTTGATGTGTTCATGATTCATTGTGACTGTTGATCTTTAATATGTCTTATCACTTGCTTTCTCATGTCATCTTTGTGGTGGGACAGTGACCTGGATTTACGCAGCTAGTCTTTCTCTAGAGAGCTGGTATCTTTTAGTATATTCAGAGGCGAATAAGGCAGTTTTTAATGGCAATATTCTTACTGTACCATAAACCATAGGGTAAGAATGACCATATAGGGGGGAAATAGTGCCTCCAAAAAAGGTTCCTATTTAAATGTTTTATTTGGGGTTGAAACCATTTTAGATGATGATGTGTGACCTTGGAAGTTAATGAATACAGTTTGGCTGTGTGGCCCAAATAGATCTCCATACTTGGTCACTGCTCTTCAGGGATCTTAGATGCGGTTCTTGTTGCTCGGCTGCTATTGATTGGTTAAGCCCCTCTTCTGTTTCTAAATACCTAGACCTCTGCCTCTTACCACATAAGAATTGTACTAGATGATCCTTCAACATTTTTTCCAGCTTTAAAATTAAACGATTTAAATGATCCTGGTTTATCAAAGTCATGGTTCTATTTGTTACTGAAAAAATTAGAACTAATGGTCTCCCTGAGGATTTCTACGTGAATGGAAGTAGTATGTTTTGGTTTTTATCCGAAAGTCACAGTAACTCTCATATTTATGTATAAATATCAAATGTACACATACTCCAGGGTGCATAAGACTTTACTTCTAAAAATCTGTTATGTTTGAAAAAACTGGAGAGGTGACTATTCCGCCTGACTTAAAAGAGTTCTGTTTTGTGTATTCTATTCTGTGTTGGTGAGATACTTCTTTGTTTCTCTGCAGACAGTAGAGTTGGCCCTGAACAGCATAGGGGTTAGGGGTAACACCACCACCACCACCCCCATGCAGTTGAAAATCCATGTGTAACTTTTGACTCTCCAAAACATAACTACTAATAGCCTACTGTTGACTGGAAGCCTTGCGAGTAACAAAGTTGATGAACACCTGTTTTGTATATAATATCTATTACATGCTGTATTTTTATGTAATGTAACATTTCTAGGGAAAAGAATGTTATTAAGAAAATTGAAGAGAATATACATTTACAGTACTGTACTGTATATATATTTTTAATGCACATGAGTGGACCCGGCCAGTTCAAGCCCATGTTGTTCAAGGATCAGCTGTTATCTATAAAAAAGATGTATCAGAATCACCTTTCTCTGGGTTTTTCTCAAGACTAGTGATAAGATTAAGTACCTGAAGTTACTCTACTGCTCACATAATAGTTGTCATTGTTAGGTCATTATTTGTAGGAAAAAGTGTGATATAACTTCTAGAATCTTTCACATGCTTGATAGAAGAGCATGTAAGGGGCGCCTGGGTGGCTCAGTCGGTTAAGTGTCTGACTTGATTTTAGCTCAGGTCATGATCTTGGGGTCGTGGGATAGAGCAGCATTGGGAGTCCGCTTGTCCCTCTCCCTCTGCTCCTCCCCACCTACTGTGTGAATGCCTTGCTTTCCCCCTCTCTCTCAAATAAAATCTTTTCAAAAAAGAACACGTAAAATATATCCCAGAGAATGTTTGTGAACTCTAGATTTAGATAGACAACAACAGCTTTGTATGATGCATTTAGTGATTTCTTTTTAAGGTAAAACATTAGAAAATAAATTCAGTACTATATTAATTTATGATTATTTTCAATGTTACCAGTCCTGAGAGGCTTCTCCAATCTTAAGATTTTGTATCTCACCAGAAACGCTAACATTTCTGAATGTTACTTTTCCTTCATCTTTAAGTAACTTAAGTATTGGGAATAAAGTTGTATAACCCACATAATAAGTATATATTTTTGTCAACTCTTATTCTTTTAAAACTGTCTCCACTTGTTAGGTGTTTCTTGTCCAACTTAACATATATATTTATCTGGTACATATAATATGTATCTGCTTTGTATAAAGCAGTAATAGGTATTAAGGCTATGCAAATATATTCCTATATCAAAGTGTTACAGGTGGGAAGATACACATGGATGTAGAGAAAAAGTTAAGTTAGGAAAATATAATGAGTGCTACTCTTGCTAAAAGAGGGGAATGATGGTCAGGTTGAGCCCTTTAATTAAACAAGCTCCTTCACGCAAGTGGCAGTGCTGGGTGTATTTTAAATGAATAGGTTTGACCACACAGAGAGCAAGCCAAAATAACTTAAATTTTTTAATCTGCTTTCAGGTTTTTGTCCATAAGTATATGTTAATTTTCTTCCTCTTTTTAAGGGTAATGGCATTTTCAGTTTAGCCCTTTTGTCTAAAGCACTTTGCCAGGAAAATTCCTGACAATACTAGACTATGTTAGATGTCCCTTAGTGTATCTTGTTCCAGTGGCTCACAAATGAATAAAATTTCAAAAAGAAAATATACAACAGATAATAATTAGCCAAGTAAAAGTGTTTCAAAAACATTATATTAGATTTTAATTTTTAAAAAGGGAGGTATGGTTTCATAATAGAATATTTTAACAGATTTCGATGAGTAATACAAATTTACTAAATTTCTCTGGTTTTTATCATTTTGCTTTAGTCCAGAAAAATATTTCCATTTGGTGTCTCCCACACCCAACCCCCCCAAATATAAGCTTAATGATGTTAGGATCCAAGAATGTTAATTGCATTTTTTTTAAGATTTTATTCATTACTTCATTTATTTATTTGAGAAAGAGAGAAAACATGAGTATGATGGGGGAAGGTGGGAAGGGCAGAGGGAAAGGGAGAAACAGGCTCCCGCTGAGCAGGGAGCCCAGTGCTGTGCGCAGTCCCAGGACCCCGGGACCATGACCTGAACCAAAGGCAGATGCACCCCTGTTGATTGCATTCTTTTATTATTATTATTATTATTATTATTATTATTATGTTACGTTAGTCACCATGCAATACATAATACATCATTAGTTTTTGATGTAGTGATCCACAGTTCATTGTTTTTGTTGATTGCTGCATTCTTATTCTTGGTTTATAATTACTCAATTAGCGAATTATTGTTGTTAGTGTTTCCCAAGTTTACTTCATTCCTCTACTTTAAGGGCCTAATGAGTTCCCCAATATTTTTGCTCATACATAATATAATCTTTGAAGTGAATATTTGCATGGTGAGTTATTATAGGTCAGAGACTCAATTTTTCACTGAGGAGAAAAGTTTTTATTTTAACTAAAAAAAAAATTTTTTTTTTTTGAAGTATAGTTGACACACAGTGTTTTATTAGTTTCAGGTGTACAACATAATGCTTGGTCACCACAAGTGTAGCTAGCTACACTTACATACAATACTATTATAATATCATTAGCTGTATTTTCTGGGCTGTACCTTTTATCCCTGTGATTTATTCATTCTGTACTAGAAGCCTGTACATTCCAGTCCCCTTCACCCCTTTTGCCCATCCCCCTAAACATCTCCCCTCTAGTAACCACTAGTTTTCTCTGTATTTATCGGTCTGTTTCTGCTTTGTTTTGTTTTTGTTTCTTAGATTCCACATACAAGTAAAATGATAATGGTAGTCTTTTTCTGTCTCACTTTATTCACTTAGCGTTATACCTTCAAGACCTCTTTCTTTTTTGTGGCTGGATACTATTCCAGTGTGTGTGTGTCCCACATCTTTATCCATTCATCCATCGATGGACACTTAGGTTGCTTCCATATCTTGGCTATTGTAAGTAATGCTGCAGTAAACATAGGGGTGCATATATCTTTGTGAATTCGTGTTCATTTTATTTGGGTAAATACCCAGTGGTGAAATAACTGGATCATATGGTAATTGTATTTGTAATTTTTTGAGGAACCTCCATACTGTTTTCCACAGTGGCTGCACCAGTTTGCATTCCCACCAGCAGTGCACTAGGGTTCCTTTTTCTCCATATCCTCACCAACACTCAATATTTCTTTTTTATTCTAGCCATTCTGACAGATGTAAGATGATCTCTCATTGTGGTTTTGGTCTGCATTTCCCTGATGATTCATGATGTTGAGTATCTTTTCATGTGTCTGCCATCTGTATGTCTTCT